AATTTATACTATATATACTCTATCTTATATATAATAGTTTAGACATAGAAATCTGAGCAGTAGTTAGTTTATAAATTTTTTTTAAAAAAAATAAAAAATCTTTTCGTTATTACTTTTTAGGATGAACTATATTAAATTAGAAACAATCTAAATACTTGAAGAAAAACTTATTCTACTCTTGTATAAAAGATTTATTATCACCTTTAAAAAACAAAAGAATATAATATTTATATATACCAAGTATTTAATAAAATATCTAAAAAAATAAAATTTACAAAAAAGCAATTGTATTTTTTTAATACTTTTTAAACAATATACAGAAAATAGTAATTTAATAATACTATACTAGCACTAAACTGCAAAAGAATATTATATTTTTATAGGAATTAGCCTTAGCTAACTTATATAGTTGATACATAAATTACTTTACAGCACATAATTTATCTTATACTTTTTACCTTCTTTCATCAACAATCCAACTTTCTATACATAGATGTTTTCTTATTTATCTGAAGAAAGGAGACTATATGATTTAAATAATTCATACTTATAATCTGTAAATGTATATTTACAATCTACACTAGAGGCTTGAATAGTAAGATAATTACATGCTATTCTAGAAAGAACTAGAAATTCAGCTTGATTGGTTTGCCACTATATTAACAGATTAATATTTTAGTTAGAGGCTTTTATTCTAAGAAAAGTATCCAATTTCTTAATAGCTGTCTCTTTAGAGGTTGTTGCTAATTGTAGATTAGATTGATTTAGAAAATATTGACATATAGCTTGAATCTCATTTTCATCATTGTTGATAATTGTTTTGCTGATAAATATAATGATCTAAAATCTTTTTATAGTCTTACGAGCTGTTTTAGCTCTTTCAGAATGATTAAATGCCCAAAGTATAACACAGAGAATTGAGAACAGCTAAAATCATAGAAAAGGTATCTATTGCTAACCAAAATTCTTCAATTTTTTGGTAAATCAAAGAAGCAGCAAGGCTTTGAGAGAAATTATTTTGTTTAATATAATTAACAAGATATTTCAAAGGCCTGAAAATATGAGACATAAATCACTATATCCTGGATAATAAATTTCAGAAAGGATTTTGGTAGCTGTTTTAACTGGAGTTAATATGATAAGAATTTTTTTTATAATAATTTTCAAGTTAATTTCATAATCCTACTTAAAATATTAATATTAATACAGTAAATTTTTTTACTTGCAATTGTTTTTGATCAGCAGTAAAATATTTTCTTTAATTGAATAATGATTATTAACAAGTAATCTAATTATTGGATCTATTTTCTACAAATTAGATAATATATCATAAGTACTTCTTTACCAAGCTGCTATATTTACATCATGGTTCTAATATGGAATATTTCTTTGTTCACACAATACATAAAATTTTTTATATATTTTTTCATCATAAGAATCTAATATTGTCATTATTTTGTAAGCTTTTTAACAGAAGAGTCATCAATATCTAAAGCATATTTAGCAGCAAAGTTAAATACATGAGCAACATATTTGTAATGAGGAAAACTGATCTTATTAAGTTCTTCTTTGTATTCTTTGAAAGATAATTTAGTGATAATTTCTGATTCATCATCAGTAGTAAGAGCAAAAGGTTGTTTGTTTATTTTAAGCTTATTTAGAATTTTTGAATAGTGTATAATAATTCAGTTATAAATAGAATTCGTCTAATAGGTAATGATAAAATTCCTAATTAGAGTCAATATAATAAATCATAATACCCATATAATCATCAGAAAAAGAAGACCATGTTTCAATGCTAAGAGAGAATTTTCTAGAAATTTGATTTGTATATATATAGAGAAGAGCTAATCAGAATACAAGATTTAGTATAATATTGTCTTCTTTAAAAAATATTTATATCATAAAATAACGAGTATGAAAAAAATACTTTTCAGATTTTAAAAAAAAACTTTTTTGTAAAATGATAGTATTCCTTAAACCATCTAACATACAAATTTGAACACTAAAATAATTTTTGATCTATTTTTATATATTTGCTTTAAATTTTATTAAGCCATATCTCTATTCTCTAAACTAGAATAAAAATATGCTACATTTTAATTATCATATAATTCTTATTTCATAAAAATTTTTTATCAATATTTCAAAATTTAATTATTTAGTATCAACCAGAATAGGATCTTTATGTCAAAATTTAATACTAACTAGAGATTGCACATGTGGGCAGCTTTGCCACCCAGTTTTAACAAACCAATTATCAGATTAGTAACAGTATATTATTATAATATCTGATATAATGTTTTTATAGTAAAAAACCTCAATAAGTGCATGTCTTAAACCAAACTTTAATGATATACACTTAGAAAACAATAAGAAAAAGTACATTAATGAAAGTAATATATATATTTGGGCCCAAGTTTAAGTGTAGATGTGCATTTATAAAGAGTAGATTTATGAAGGTTTTACTATGATAGCTCTTATATTTACTGTTATATTAAAATTAAATAATAGCAAATATAGTGAAACTTTTATAATTACATGCTTTTAGAACTGAACTTTAATGATATGTACTTAGAAAATAATAAGAAAAGATGCATTTATGAAGATTATTTATATATTTTGGCCCAAATTTAAGTACTCATTTAGAGAGGGCATGCACTTTTAAAAAGTACATTTATAGAGGTTTTACTGTAATAGATTTTATTTACTCATTTTTTATAGCCTCACTTTGCTTGGCCTCATTTCAAAACTAGTTCTATATCTTTTTTATATTATAATATTATTTTTGATAGAGCAATGAGGTGTGTAGCAACTTAGTGAAGTAGTTAAGTTGTCGCACCCCCAAGCAGTATGTTAAGTAGGTAGAGGATTCAAAACCTATTGTGATGAATTTCAAATATTCTATCTGTATAATGGCTACTGTCTTTCAACGATCGGTTGGAACAAGATTTCTGTAACTTTGGTAGCACCAACAAGATTGAAGTGTTAAGCAAGACACTCTACCAACCAGACTGCCAAGAGAGTAACTGGAGGAAAAAAACCCAACCGTGGGGACCAGGAGCAGGTACAGCCCTTCTGGGCTATCTGAATTGGTAGTTTGGGATAGTTGGAAATATTGATAATAGTTTGTAAAGTATGTACTGGGGTTTGAGTAAACTCTATATGGGCAGAAGTAGGTTTGGGTAGCAGAGTTCAGCCAAACTGAAGTTAAATCTAGATACAAAAAGCTGGAGAAAAAAACTATAGGCAATGACCTTAACCCAGTACCACCCACACTCCCAGAATAGATAAAAACTAAGCCACAAGTGATAGGCCATGGCCCTGTGTGCCAAACTGAAGTGCAGGCTAGATGCAGTATAAAGTAGGAATACTGCGGGCTCTGCCAGGTTTACCTCGAGAATAAAGTAGTCCTAGATCAGTTGTGTAATAGTTGCATCAAGAAGAACTGGTTTCTGGAAGGCCGGAGAAATGATGCCAATTATAAAAAACCTCAGAGTATATAGGCACAAAGGGTTTAAAATGGGTAACCTCCTAGTCGAGTTGCAGGTACGGCAAATAGTGTAAAATCTAGTAAAAGGCAGACTACTTAAATAGATGC